GGCGGAAACCACTGGAAGCTATCCAGTCTCGCCGGTCAAGTTCACACTGATCAACGATCCAGATGAGAAGCGGTCACTGATAACGAGGAGGTACGTACAAGAGAGAGAGAGAGGGGAGAGAGAGAGAGAGAGAGAGAGAGAGGGAGAGAAGCGTCACTGATAACGAGGGAGATTACAGAGAGAGAGAGAGAGAGAGGGGAGAGAAAGTGCACTTGATAACGAGGGAGGTACGTACAGAGGAGAGAGAGAGAGATGAGAGAGAAGAGAGGAGAGAGAGAGAGAGAGAGATAAGAGAGAGAGAGAGAGAGAGAGAGAGAGAGAGAGAGAGCGAGAGATGAGAGAAGAGAGAGAGAGAGAGAGAGAGAGAGAGAGAGAGATGAGAGAGAGTGATAATGGTATTACAAGACTGTTAATTCACCACAACAACCACAACAATTAAGACCTGACCAACCTGAGAATTACCCTTGCGATGCCTGTTGGGATTCGTGCGATTATTCGTGATGCGCTTTCGACTGTTGCAGGCTGCCTACATGTGTGCAGTGACTCACGATGTGCTGGGAAACTCTGTGCCCTGTGCCGTGCTCAGACCCTCGTAAGTATTCTCACAGATGCGAGAGTACACGTGTTCGTAGCAGGGTCCCCGCCACCCAACCTGATTATGATATTGCGAATCTATATGTTTATGGTTGATACTGGGTCCGAGTGTCTTTGTACTAGACTTGAACCATCTCTGACTAGCGTAACATTCCTAAACATTCAATAAACAATACGAAATACCTGTTACGACCAGGTGACAGTTACAGGGTTCTCCCAAGGCCTTTAACGCACGTTGGGATGGCGTGCCTTTTAAGCTGAAGCCTATTTGTGACGTCCCATAAATCCTCGGTCATGCCTAATTGACATGTCTTGATTTTCAGCATTCTACCTTGGTTTACGTTGAACAATCCCAACATGGTCACACTGTGTTTTCAAAACTAGATGTGTACGTATCCGAAGTGATAAAGTTTACCTGCTTTTCGCTCCATTAGATTGTCCGTGGATTCGATTTTCATGATTTCATGACTATGTCTGAAGCCTGCGACAACGAATTTTTGGGCAGAGTAGGAAGAAGAAAAATTCTGTGCAATCCGTTGTTCGAACGATCGTTCTCTTGTTTCAGCGGCAACATCGTGACGATGGAATGCGTGGAGAAGCTGATTAAGAAGGATATGATCGACCCAACGAATGGAGCCAAGCTCAAAGAGAACGACATCATACCACTGCAGAGGGTGAGTGCCTAATCTCTACCCTAGATCCTGTCCCTGCCCCTCACAACCACACTCGCCCCCCGTCCAATAATGGGACGAATGGAGCCAAGCTGACGGAGAATGACATCATACCACAGCAGAGGGTGAATACATAATCTCTGCCACACACAGCCTCCAGAACCTCCCCTGCCCACAGCCCCCAATGCCTCTCCCTGCCCCTCTGTAAACTCGGCGTCTGCTGGCGAGCGTGTTTACCTCTAACCTTGACCCTTGACCTTGCAGGGCGGCACAGGATTCGCTGGCAGCGGGAACCAGCTGAAAGCCAAGGTACAGAAGGCTTCCATGGTCGTCGCCTGAAGCTTGCCTCACGCCCTCTGGTGGTGCATACTGGCGCCCTCTGCTGGTGTGCACTGGAATTTTCTCGCAGAACCATTGTAAATACTCATGTTTGTCCCGGGCAGAGTGGAAACCCGTGTCACGCAGGGATGTGCGTATGTATGCATGTGTGTGTGTGCGTACGTGCGTGCGTGCATGTCTGTCTGTGTGTGTGCGTGCGTGTCTATCTGTGTGTGTGCGTGTGTGGGTGCATCTATGTGTGAGACTTGTCACCAATCAATATTAACATTTCTAATGGTCATTACACATACTGCTGTCAAAGTGATATTTTGAGGAAGGTTTGAATTTGGATAAAGCACACTTTTATTGAAAACTCATCAATGCATTGCGTTGGAGGGTGCATTTTGTATAACTACTGTTTGATGGGATTCTATTTCTGAATGTACTTGTATATAGAATTAATTAATAAATAATCACACAAAAAGAAGATGTTGTTTTCACATGTTTTATTACATGCATGTAGTGCTTACGTAATTCATTTTAATTCCAATTTCTATGCAATTGTTTGAACGACTGTTCATTATGTCATTGACTAACCTCTTGCCTATCACTTGGTCAGATTTTCCTGTGAGGGCCTGGTACAAAGTCTAAACAAGGAACAATTCAACACAAACGACGTGAATTTTTATTGTCAACTAATCATCATGTTATAGATTGGTCGTTATATAGCTAGGTTGACAAGGTAATGCAGCGTAAGTTACATCACGGAGATCCAACAGTAAATACTAAACAAAAGTCTGGTCCAATTATTGAATTTCCAATTCGTTCCAAATTGATTATTAGTACTTCATTGTAAGGATAGTCATTCATTATTAATTACGTAAACATGAAATACCTACACATCTATTTCATGTATATAATATACCTACAATACATGCCATCACATTGCTACAAGCCTATAACAATAATAACTAGAGCACTTGGAGAGCGCAGACCTCCGCCAAGGCAGCTAAATTGTCTCACTGTAAAAGATTTTATTAATTAATTAATTAAATAATTAATTGGATCCTGATCACCACCAAAATGTAATCAATTCTAAGTTACCCCATTTCTGACCTATCCTGAAAATTTTATTAATTGGATCCGGATCACCACCAAAATCTAATCAATTCTAAGTTAGCCCATTTCTGACCTATCCTGAAAATTTTATGACAATCCGTCCATAACTTGTTTAGTTAGGCTGTACACAAACAAAGAAACGCAGAAACCCACAAACCAACAAACACACGCCGGTGAAAACATAACCTCCTGCCAACCCCTTGGCGGAGGTAACTAGGCTATATCATATAACATATAGGTAGTACTGTATAGTTCAAGTTGCTAATAAAGATTTATTGGAAAATTTTTTATGGATGGCTGTAGTAGTGCCTGAGACGCGAATTCACGGTCCATTCTTGGCTTAGTCATGGGTTTAATGGAACTATATCAGTACATACCAACTCTATAGGGATTTATTTTGAAATTTTTCAATATAAGGTTGTGGTACATTTAAATTCTGACTTGGGTACGCGCTATGGTAAAACTAAATTAGCATATCAATCGGTATTAAATTGGTAGCAATCTATAAAGTTCCAGCTTGATTACTGATAAATTTTACTCGTGTTCGAATTTCCGAATGTGCGAACTTCTTTTGCGCTAAATACATTCATAACATAAACACGCACAATACTTGTACTATCTACGAGACGTGAAGGTGTCCATTTGGAGGTCATTCAAGATCGTTCGCGATTCCAATCAGTTTACATCAGATGGAATCTACCTACTAATGTTTATATTAGTTAAAAACAATGAAACTATACATTGTGCAATACGTGGATATACGTACAAGTGCATGCAAAAATATTACTAAAATTACGAGCCACAGCTTTCCAAGGCTGTTAACTAGATTTTATATATCGCGCGACACTTCGTGGGGTAAACTTTGGGAGAACGACTTGGATATCGGGTCCGTAATTTTTCGTAACTGCCGTAAGGTGGCGGTAGCTGGCAAGCGGTTATTTTCGTGTCGGCGAATAAACCCAGTGAATCAACCAAGTATGTTCGAAGCATTAAAAAGTGCCAAAAATGTAACGCAAATGCGCCCGTTTTATCCCATCGCCTTCGATTTGATATTTATTTGTTTTTTATATTAGTTTCTATTTTTTTATTTTGGCCTATTATTTTTCCACTCATTTATAAACGCGTATTAAAGCGTCAACATTTTTTAACCTTCCGTGACATCCCATGCAATCGATAATCAATCAGTACACGTACCATCGTCTGGTTCGATGGACAAAAAATCTCCGATACAAAAAAACACACACAGATTCAACAAACCAACGCCGTGCTAAACAAGGGGCACGGGGGCGGAAGAAAAATAAAGACGCGGGGAAGTGGTGAGTGGGCGGATAGAAATTATGTAGTGAAATTCACATTCTAAAAAAAAATTCTTACAAACTTAGCAATACCGGTTAGACTCATCCAACTACCACTGCCAGGCAGATGCGGTGCACGCACGATCTACGAGTGGCAACCTGGTGCTAGAGATACTGCCGCTAGAAGGGAACCCTAGATTCACCCCCCTTATTATAATAGGGTGTGAAAGTACTGGCTAACCTGAATATAGAAAGGTCACTCAAAGGGAAAAATTCAGAAGTGACATTTATAGACAGAAGTGTCGGCAATGTAGTGGGCGTTTCACTGTATAATTGTCGCTCAACGAAAACGCGAAAAAAGCGTCCTTACTACACAGGTGTCCGTATTATAGAGGTGGTTTCACTGTTCACCTGTGACTGAAGCGAACCCCTAAAGGTGTTCTTCGTAGGCAGGAATCCGATCTATAGAGGTTACTTCCCTGTATAAATGACGCTCAAGGGAAACGACAGATATGTGTGATTTATAGCCAGGTGTATACATGTTATCAGAAGTAGATAATAGTATACCATGTTATCTACTTCTGATGTTATAGAGGTGCTTACACTGTAGACCTGACACGTAACCAAATTGCCATAAACGTGTCCTTTATAGACAGGTGTCCGTTCTATAGAGGTGACCGCTGACACAGGTCTGCCCGTACTATACATGAATGATGAATTGAAACTAGGGTTCCCCTTCCCCACGGAAGCGACCGCTTGCTCCCTCGGCCCCACCCATCGATCGTGGCGCCCTCATCGGCGGCGTGGGTAGTGTCACCGGACGAACGTAAGTGTCACCGGAGTACATTTTGTTCAGTCACCGGTAAGCACACAGTCTCGCGCAGAAGTTACGACGGCGTCGACGACGGCGACGACGACGCCGACGTCGACGACGGCGACGACGACGCCGACAAGAAACCACGCGGCCCTCGCAGTTTCTCTTTTTTGTTAAAAAAAAAACGAACGAAGAAAAAAGTCGCAGTTTAAAAAACAACTCGTAGCAGAAGAGACGCGTGACGTGTTGCGTTCTATTTAGTGGCGGATAATGTTATGCTAGTTGATGATGATGATGATGATGATGATGTGATGACGATGATGATGATGACGATGATGATGATGACGATGATGACTATGATGATGATGATGATGGTGATGATGATCATCATCATCATGACGATGACGACGATGATGATGATTTGTGCGTGTGCGTGTGCGAGTATGTGCACGTGCGTGTGCGAATGAGTGCGTACATGTGCGCGCGTATGCGAGTTAGTGCGTGCGTGTGCGAGTGCGTGCAAGTGCGTGCAAGTGCGTGCAAGTGCGTGCATGTCTGTGCAGGTGCGTGCATGGCTGTGTATGTGTAAGTGAGTGCGTGCAGATGCGAGCGCGGGTGAGCGCAGTGGTGCGTATGTGTAAGTGAATAGGTGCGTACATGTGAGTGTTCGTGCGTGCGAGTGAGTGCATGTATGTGCGAGTTTGTGCGTGGTGGTGGGTTATCATTGATCACTGGTAAAACTTTTTTATGGCTTTTTCTTTTACGGCGTGTGCGAAAATTATTAACATGAAAAATTGTTACAGATTAACCGGGAAAATTGCGTAGCGCGAGAATGGAAATATACATAGAAACAACAAAGTTTTAAGCGATCGAAAAAAGCAGTTTGACTTGTTCGAAAGTCCGCCAATCGGCATTCCCCACCAATAGAACGTTCACTTGTCCTTTTCGCTGCCGCCATATTACCGCCCGTCTAAACGAGAGCCGCTGATAGAGCGATACAAAAACATAGATATTACACACATACATACACACACAAACACACACACACA